TTGCTGTAACTGGCAGAGGGATTTAACTGAGGATCTGGTCTGGAGAGGTCACAGGAGAAATGTCTGGCTAATATTGGAAGGAGGAATCCAAGTATCCAGGGACATTTGTGAGTAGGGTTGGGCTCCATGTTTGAGTCACCGAACACATGTAAGGTAAGGGCGTTCGGCGAGCTATTCGCCTGCTGTGCCCCACAATGCATTGCACCCTGAAAGTGCATTGTGATTGGCCAAAGCAATGCACCTGATTGCAGGTCAGGTGCAATGCTTTGGCATGGTTGAACTTTCAGTAGGTTTGAATGTTTTATCCGGGAACCGAACAGCGAGGTATTCGGTTCATTACTATCTGTGCATTCGTACCTGTGTGACTGTGTGCCACTACTATCCCTCATTCATCAGTGCCAGCTCTTGCTCAAAATCTAGATATTTTCTATGGTGTCTCAGAGTAGCTCATGCCCCTAGTTGCTGTTACAAAGACTGTGATAAGAAGCTCGAGAAGTGCCCTCATGTTGCTGTTACTGTTGCTGTTACATGTTACTGAGCAACAGAGGTTCTATTTACTGATTGACTGAAAGCTTCCTCCAATCAAGACAATGCTAGGTATTTGAAAGTGTGGGTCATTTTGTGAAGGAAGATGGTGTATCACCTTTCTGTGTGTGCTGGAGACAACCAGACCATGTAATCTTTTGACAGTTATCCCCATTCTGGGTGACCACAGGATGGGGTCCATGCTCCCCTTCCAAGTTTTTTTTGTACTGAAAATGCACCAACCAAAGTAATATGGCTGACATTAAAGAAGAATTCCAGGTATGAATATTTTTACATAGCTGCAATGTAACTATGCATGTGCCATACCTGTAGGATCCCTGTGGAAGCTGAAAATCACTGTAGTAGGCACCGCTACTACAATGATCTCCACTGTCTTCCAAGTCCTGTGCCTGCTGCATCGGGAACAGAAGAGAAAACTACTCCGAGAACTCTACAGGAATTCTAAGCATTCTCTAATTGAACAAGGTGGATAAGGGAGGCGGCAATGTCATGATCTCCGCCTCCTCCAATCAGAGAATGCTTTCCCTCCAATGAGAAAATGCAAAGCATTTTCTAAATAATGCCCGTGCTGAGAGGGTGACCTCCTGTGTTTAGAAGGAAGCCTTTTGACACAGGACCTGGAAGCTAGTGGAGATCACTGTATACTGTGTGGTACTTACTACAGTGATTTCCAGCTTCCACAGGGATCAGCCAGATATGGTATATGCAAAGCTATATTGGTCCAAACTGGACCAATGTAACTACAGTATGTAAAAATATCTATACTGTCAGAAGCGTCTAGTGATCCTTCTCCATCACAGCTGCTGGTCTCATTCCAGCATTTTAGTTTTGGCTATGATGCATTCTCCCTGTCTGTCTGTCCACCTGAAAGGTGATTGATGTGGCCAGTCTCTGGGTGGAGACCAAACCTGATTTAAGCCAGCCAAACCTGCAGTCTCATGCTTCTGATAGTGTAACATTTGCTCAAGCTCCCTGTTAGTCTGCCCTTTGCTTGTATTTCCCTGTGTATGACCTCGGATCGGATATTGTCTATTCTCTGAACTTTGCCTGCCTTTTGACTATGGATTTGGCCCTGACTATTCTGAACCTTGCCTGCCTTGTACCTGGACTGTCTTTGGACCACTCTGCCAGTCTGCCAACCGCAAGTACCTGTTTGCCTTGCACACTTTGCGCATGCCCCAGCATGGTAGCCATGCACTACAAATTGTGTATAAGTCCATGGGGCAACCAAGTACCGGCAGGCCTGCTTGGCTTATTGGAAAGGGGGCTGCTGTAGGGGAAGAATGCAGAAGCTAGCTATAGTGTCTGACCACCTGTGTTAGAGGTAAGCATGACAAATTTGTGGAATTCAGCTTTAAAGGCTAAATCCCACCTGCTAATCAAGATGTGACATTCTGCATTTAAGAGGTTTTCGTTAACAACTTCAGGTACGAACACTTTTACCCCCTTCCAGTCCAGGCCAATTTTCAGCTTTCAGTGCTATCACACTTTGAGTGACAATTACTTAGTCATGCAACACTGTACCCACATAAAATTTTTCTGAAATTTTTATACCCAAAACAGTAGATACAGTGTATGTTAAGAAGACATAGCAAGCATGTAGTGTTTCCACCCTTCACTTCATATATGGCTGTTCATGCTCAACATGGTAGTATTACACAATGCTGAAAATAAACAAACCCATAATAGATGTATGTAAGTTCGATGAACTATTATGTTATAATTGAACTACAGTATAATACAGTGGTTCTGATCTGGTCAAAAACATATAAAGCACATTTATACAACCCCTGAAAATTTAAGTTCCTAACTGAAGAGATATTCCTTCATTGTGCTTTTGTTCTGTATATACAGATACTGTAGTTTATAATTGGTTATTCTTATTTCAGCTACTAAATGCTTTTCCAAAACTTTTCCACCATATGCCTGGACCTCTTCAAAAAGCATGGAAGAATCTCTCTACTTTGAAAGTATTTGTAATGGATAAGGTCAAGCAACATCAAGAAACTCTAGACCAGAACTGTCCCAGGGATTTTATTGACTGTTTCCTAATAAAAATGGAAGAGGTAAGACTTGCTCAGTTACGAATCATATGCCACTGGGGTTTTTATACAAAAATGGAAATGATGGGAAATTTTCTCTTTCTCAAATGCATGAATCATTATATTTCAGGAACATGCATTATTCACATATAGATTGTTGTAGACTAGTGCGGTCAATGTAGCTACCAATAGTAAAATGTTGTACTAGGTGCCATAGATAGAAACACACACACAAAAAGTTATAGCGATACATTTTATTGGTTAACCAATCAGATTAAAATGGCAAGCTTTCAAGATGCCTCAAATCTCTTTGTCAGGTTATACCACGTTTAACAAGGAGCCTCGAACGTTCCTGAGGTATGAGCAGCAAAAACAAAAAACTTGATAATTTGCTAATAAAGTTTTTGTCTCTGTCCCTACTGGGGAAATTTTAATAACCCAGACAGAAAGTGAGGGGAAAACAACCTAGTTGGGTCAAATAACCCTACTCTACTCAGTGTACACTGCATATGCATCCTATGTTTCCAGCTAAATACCTTTCTTTTTGAAATGTAATGTAATGGTCACTTGACCAATCCAGTTCCACTCTACATGTCCCAGAAGTCTGTAATATTCAAGCTGCTGTGAGCCTGGCCACTATTATTTGTATGAATAGTAAAGACTACCAGCTATGGCAGCTGCATCATTACATAATGTAAGCTCGAAAGAGTAGGGCCCTCTTACCCCTCGTACGTTGTTTGTTATTGTTGTAGCTGTGCCATGTATTGTCCCCCTCTCTATTGCACAGCGCTGAGCAAACCCTTTGGCGCTATATAAACTCGATGTAATAATCAATAATAATAATAATAATCCTTGTAATACTGGGAAATACAGAGAGGGTTGCATTCATACAAAAGCTGATGCGGCTGCTGAGACTCAATGCCATGCAGCCAGAAGTCCCGAACAAAGCTATTGCTGGAAGAAAGGTGCCCCACATGCAGAACATGGAGCTGGAGTGTACAACCAAAAATGTGGAATCAGTAAAGATAAGCAAAAACAAAATCCAAACTGGAGTTCTGTTCCCAGCAGAACTTGAACTTTAGTCCATTTTCAGTAATATGAAAAATGAACCATGTAATAGTTCACCAATATCACATTTCCTCTACTTTATTGCTGTTTATTTGTGTGTGTGTCCAAGTGATCTCTTTGTGTGTAATAATAATATATTGGTTGGTTTCATCAAGTTGTTTGATAGAGAAGAATAGTGATACTTACACCTTGGGGCACAGCAGCTGGCACTGTTGCCGCCTCCTCTTCTGGGCCAGAATATGGCTAGGCTTTTGACATTGTCACAAGAGCGCAGGTCCTGCATTATGTGTAATGATGATGGGGAAATAGCCACATGATCGGTGAAGAGGAGGAAGGACTGGTCGGCCAACAAAATAATTCACCCTCCCATAGCCTCCCTAGATTAAACAAGCATTATATATATATATATATATTTTACATTTTATATATTATTATTATGGGTACTTGTATAGCTCTGTCAATTTACGTAGTGCTTTACATATATATATATTATATATATATATATATATATATATTGCACATTCACATCAGTCTCTAACCATCAAGGGGTGTACAATTTACGGTCCCTAACTTACATTCATACATACACATACTAGGGTCAATTTAGACAGGATTCAGTTTACCTACCAGCATGTGTTTGGAGTGTGGGAGGAAACTGGATTAACTGGAGGAAACCCACGCAAGCACAGGGAGAACATGCAAACTCCAGGCAGGTGGTGCCGTGGGTGGGATTCAAACCAAAGACCCTAGTACTGCCCATGTGTATTGGGGGAGGAAGTGCTAATCATTTAGACACGGGGTGCTTTCTACCTGATATGAGGAGGACCAAAAAATGTAGGACCACAGTTTATGTGTATTGGGGCCTTATCAGCACCGATCACTCATTGGGCTCATTCAGGAAAGGAAGAGGCTGGCAAATGTGATGTGTTTACCCCCCTTACTCTCTAACCTGAACGATCCTATTGTGTGTTTGCAGCTGCCAGTGGGAGGGAAAGGAGGGAAGCCAGCAGCACTGTGGGGATGGGGGCACACAGGGGGGCCTGAGCAGCAGCGAGAAACATTTGGTGCACAGGGAGGGTGATGGGTGTGGCAGGGGGGCAATTACTGGAACCAATCCCCTGTATAGATCTCTGCCATTGGTCAAGCTAGTCTATTATAACTATGTAAAAACTGCCACACCTGGAATTCTTCTTCAGGGTTTTCAGTATGTGATTTCTGCTCTGTTCTCAGGAAAAGGATAATCCCAACACAGAGTTTCACTTTGAAAACCTGTTTGTCACAGTGATGAATTTATTTTTTGCTGGCACCGAAACGACAAGTACAACAATAAGAGTTGGTCTGAGGATTTTGCTCAAGCATCCGGACATCCTAGGTATGAATGGACAGTCAAGTTTTAATTATCCTTCTGTGACTTATCTTGCTGTAAATGCCAAATGCTTGAAGCTGAACTCGAGTCATTTTACAGCTTTGTAGTAGCTGTGTTGAAACCGATTACTCCTAATTCCCTACAAACTGGCATCTCTACAATATAAACCTTTGAAGAAGCAGTATCTATCTTCATTTCCTGTCTGAAGACCTTGATAATCAAGAATCCCTTCTCCTACTGATCTGTAATGTTGTTGCTACACCTCTCATTAACTTTCTCTGCCATCAATCATTTTGTTCCAAGGCTTATATGAAAGGACACATCCCTGGCATCCCTTAAGACATGCATGCTTAAGTAACGGATCAACAGATTGCACTGCAAAAGTCTTCAGCACCCAGTAACCAGTATGGAGGAGCATGAGTACCTAAAGGAATGCCGTGGATGTTTTTTCTTATAATGCTCTTGAAATATGATCCAAAACAGGGTGCTGCAACATTAACAGAAGCCTGCTGGCTCCTTCCATCAAACCCAGAACAAACACCAGAAGATGGACCCAGCAATGATGTCAATGGGTCTCAAAAGAAGTATTTATTAAAAGTAAAATGATTTGCTTGAAAGTTTGGAAATGCATGTTGATGGGAAAGAGGGAGGGGGCAAGAAGAGGTATTATATAACTGCATTACATTTTAGTTATGAAAAATGCTAAGTCACATTTACATTACTCTGAAGCAAATGTCCAATCTCCTGCAAAATCCCAAAGTGAAGTCACGATGGCTGTAGATGCACTGGACTTGAACAGTAAACTTTTCTTAAACATCTATTCATCTTTTCTCAGCTAAAGTCCAGAAAGAAATAGACCAAGTGATTGGCTCAGATCGCTTTCCATCTGTGGAAGATAGGAGCAAGATGCCATTTATGGATGCCATGATACATGAGATACAGAGATTTGCTGATATCGCGCCACTAGGAGCACCTCATGCAGCTGCCCAAACCACTTGCTTCCGTGGCTACACCATCCCCAAGGTTGGAAGGTTTATTTTTTACTTCATCAGTAATTTGAGTTTGAGGTTATTCCTGAATTGCAAGTCCCATGGTGTAGGTTACTTGCAGAAATCTGTCAGGGATCACCGCGGCGCTGGTCCCAGAGCAGGCGCAGTGCGCCGCCTTGTGCAGGGACGCGCGCTCGCGCTATGCGCACTAGGAGCCGCGGGCGTGCGCCTGGCACCAATGACAGCGCAGGGCGCGATTTTAAACGGCCCTGAACTGTCATTGAGTGCCTTCTGGTCTTACTTGCATTCCTGAACCTGTGAAAAAAACCTGTATCCTGTAAGTTGCTGACCCGGATTGTACCTGACCACGCTGTATTCTCCTGCTCTGACCCTTGGCTTGCCTGACCTCTCTCCCGGATGCCCCCTATTGGATCTGATCTTCTGTTACTGACCTGGCGTGTGACCCGACTATTCTCTGCCCGCTGCTTTGTACCGCACCATCCCCACGGCTACTGACCCGGCTTGTCTGACCTCGCACCTGCTCAGCCATCCATCCATCCCATCGGGGTCACCCGACCTCCTCATATCAGGCTCTCCCCTGTGGGAGCCCCTGGCAAACACCCCTACCACTGACAGGTATACTCAGTAGTCACGACCTGGTCTCAGGGTACTCCAAGTCCATCCCCACCATCAGGGGCCCTGGTGAACAAGTACTCTGGGGCTTAGATTCCATGCTCTGGGGATGCCTGATCAGTGGAGTGCTAGTGGTACCACCAGGCGGTCCCTTACAAAATCATTAATAAAGAGGGTCCTGTGGCATACCAATGCATTGGAACATTATAATTAGAGATGAGCGAATCGAACATGACGAAGTGGAATTCGTTCCGAAGATTTGGAAAAATTCTATTCGCGACGAATCCGAAGATTAGCAAACTTCGGATGCACGAATCGAATTTTCCCAAAAATGGCGGCGACATGTGTGGCGACGGAGAAAATGGACAGAGAAGATGGGGCGGGGATCTCTGGGAAGGCGCGCAGACAAGGCGCGCTGACCATAATGCATTCATGACATGTGATCGCATTAGCCAATCAGCAGCCAGCCAGCACTGTGTAATGGTGGAGCTATAAATCGCGGCCATCTTAGAATTCTCCATTAGCCTCCGGTCATTCAAGAGAGACAGACCTGTGTGTATTAAGGGACAGAGTTAGGGCCACAGAGACTTTAGGGCCACAGAATCGTTACTCAGGGGGACACAGAATCGTTACTCAGGGACACAGAATCGTTACTCAGGGAAGTACGACGGTATATGATCTTCTTCGCACCCACGGCATTACTTCGTAGAATTTCTGCATTGCATCTGCAATCACAACGCTGACTTCCCGGATCGCCACTCAGCCATTGGACTCTTGATAGTCGTCTCCCCACACTGCTGCTGGGGGGACTTTTAAACCTAGGCCTGTGTATGGCCTTCAATTGAAGCTGCTTCCGCTCCGCCACTCTGCCATTGGACTCTTGATAGTCGTCTCCCCAGCTGGCGCTATCTGGGAGGGGCTGCTGCCAGGGGGACTTTTTAACCTAGGCCTGTGTATGGCCTTCAATTTAAGCTGCTTACGCTTCGCCACTCTGCCATGGGCCCCTGTACCGCCTCCTCTTGCTGCTGCCAGGTCCAGAGTGTGTCATGGGTCCCTGTACGGCCTCCCATTGCTGCTGACTTCATCGCCAGACTCTGCCATGTGCCACTTTCAGGTCTCCTTACACTGTTGGTGGGTTCCATTTTGTGATAGGGTGCTGTATGGCCTTCCATTGCTGCTGCCTCCACCGCCACCCTGCGCCATGTGCCTCTGTCGTCTGCTCACGCTGCTGACGGCTTCCGCTTTTTAACCGAGGCCTGTGTTTGGCTTCCGAATACTGCTGCATCCACCGCCACCCTGCGCCATGTGTCTCTGTCGTCTGCTCACGCTGCTGACGGCTTCCGCTTTTTAACCTAGGCCTGTGTATGGCTTCAGAATAATGCTGCCTACACCGCCACCCTGCGCCATGTGCCTCTGTCGTCTGCTCACGCTGCTGCCAGGTCCATACTGATTCATGGCCCCCTGTACCGGCTCCTCATGAACGTGGTTCAGCGGGTTTGCATCACTTAACGGCAAATCGTTGACAAACGCTGGGACGTTCAGTGTTGTGCGCATTAAGCCAGACACCAAAGGGCAGCACAGACCTGTTATTACTCGCTCAAGCATGGCTGAACAAAACAGTCTCTACCACAAATTGGACCCAGACCTGCCCAGGGTCTCGTAAGTAGATTGCACGGAGGAGTAGAGTTCGTTATTGGAATTAACTGTGAGGGACTTTTAAACCTAGGCCTGTGTATGGCCTTCAATTGAAGCTGCTTCTGCTCCGCCACTCTGCCATTGGACTCTTGATAGTCGTCTAACCCCACGCTGCTGGGGGGGGACTTTTTAACATAGGCCTCTGTATGGCCTTCAAGTTTAGCTGCTTACGCTCCGCCACTCTGCCATGGGCCCCTGTACCGCCTCCTCATGCTGCTGCCAGGTCCAGAGTGTGTCATGGGTCCCTGTACGGCCTCCCATTGCTGCTGTCTCCATCGCCACACTCTGCCATGTGCCACTTTCAGGTCTCCTCACACTGCTGGTGGGTTCCATTTTGTCATAGGGTGCTGTATGGCCTCCCATTGCTGCTGCCTCCACCGCCACACTGTGGCTCCACACTCTGGTTTTGGCCCCGTGACTGCCCAAATGAGTGAAGTGGATAGGGTGATTCTAAGATCGACGGCATCATCTGCATGTCATACTGACTGAAACAGTATTATTTCTCTTCCCCATCAGACTCCAAGGGCATTTAAATTAAAGGTACAGTGTTCTGCACTAATATAAAGGCTCTCTGAGCCTAGAAACACCCTTTTTATAAGTTAAATTCGCAGCGAATATATTCGGCTCGAAGCGAATTTATTCGGCGAATTCGGCGAATCAGCCGAACCGAATTTTTGAATAATTGCTCATCTCTAACTATAATAAAATGGTCACTTTTTTTATTGAATCTAAAACTGGTTTGTTGGTGAGCTTAGGAGTCTGCACTGGGGCCCTTGAACAGCTGCATAGTCAACCAATTTCATGTAAACACTATAACTGACTGCAAAAAGATAAGAGTTGCACTCCATAATCAGCTCATCGTAGTATTTGTTCCAATAGCAATGAAGTGGCTGCATACATGTAATCTCCACCCAAAAAAAAAAATACTCCCTACATGCGTTTCACCCCTGATGGGCTTGTTCACCTACACTGTCCTTGTGAACAAGCCCATCAGGGGTGAAACACATTTGGGGAGTGTGTTTTTTTTTGGGGGGGGGGGGTGAATATTACATGTCTGCAGCCACTGTATTGCTAATAGAATAAATATTAGGATGAGCTGATTATGGAACACGACTATTATCTTTTTGGCAGGGAAGATAGGTTACACCAGTAAGCATCTGGATGGTCTGTAAATATTAAAAGGTAGAGGATTGGAACGCTGCAGTGGATTTGGGTATTCTGTCATTATAATTGACTGTCACATTGATCACGTTTGGTAGTGGTGGGTTGAACAACCCCCAGTTCAGTTCACGGTCAAACATTCGAACGTACAGAATGTTCGACTGCAAACTTTGAGCATGAACAATTTACTGAGCAGTATCTTACCCAGGGGCAGACTGACCATTTGGAAACTCGGGCACTGCCCGAGGGCCCGGGGTCAGTAGGGGGCCCCATGAGATGCCCCTGGTACCTTTTTCATAAGCTTTTTTGAGTTTGGGCAAGGATACAGGGGCCCCATGATCCCCTATTGCTCGGGGGCCCCATGAGTTGTCAGTCCGCCCCTGATCTTACCACATCTGAGTATGTAGTAAGATACTGTTCAGTTACTGAAATACGGCATGAGTTATATTATTAAGTCATTCGGTATTTTAGTAGTGAAACATTCATTAATGTTTTAGCTGTCAGTGGGGTTCCCCGTTGACAGCTGAACGTAAAAAAAATTGTCATCATTGTCCAACAATTAAAACATTTTTTAAAAATCTGTGTGGGGTCCCCCCTCCCATCCATACCAAGTCCTTTGGGTCTGGTATGGATTTTGAGGGGAACCCCTATGCCACAGCTAACCACTTGCCCTCCTGAGGATTTACCCCTCTTAATGACCAGGCCTCTTTTTACTACTCGGCGCTGCACTAATTCAACTGATAATTGCGCGGTCATGCAATGCTGCACCCAAACAAAATTTACGTCCTTTTTTTCACACAAATAGAGCTTTCTTTCGGTGGTATTTGATCACCTGTGCACTTTTTTATTTTTCACGCTATAAACAAAAAAAGACCAAAAATTTTGAAGAAAAACAATATTTTTTACTTTCAGCTATAAAAAATATATAGTAAACTCAAAGTTGGTTATAAATTCAGGCCAAAATGTATTCTGCTCCAATTTTTTGGTAAAAAAAAATCCCAATAAGTGTATATTGATTGCTTTGTGTGAAAGTTATAGCGTCTACAAACTATGGTATAGATACTGCAATTTGCACCCTGTTTTTGCTATACAGCGCTGCACTAGTTTAACGGACAATTGTGCGGTCATGCAATACGGTACATAAATTAAATTGATGTTCTTTTTTTTCACACAAATAGAGCTTTCTTTCGGTGGTATTTGATCGCCTGTGCATTTTTTATTCTTTGCGCTATAAAAAAAAAGGCTGACAATTTTGAGAAAAAAACAATGTTTTGGACTTTTTGCTATAAAACATGTCTAGTAAAAAAAATTTAAAAATCTAATTTCGCCCAAAATGCATTCTGCGACATGTATTTGCTAAAAAAAAAACCCATCACGTGTAAATTGGTTTACGTGAAAGTTATAGCGTTTACAAATGGCGGTAAAGATACTGGGATTTAAAAATTTTTTTATACTAATAATGGCGGCGATCAGCGACTTATGGCGGCGATCAGCGACTTATGGCGGCGATCAGCGACTTATGGTGGCGATCAGCGACTTATGGCGGAACTGTGGGACTGCGGCGGACATTCTGACACTGGGGGGAACTGACTTGGGGTCACTGACATCCCCAGTGACACCAATACAGTGATCAGTGCAAAAAAAAAACACTGACACTGTACTAATGGCACTGGGGAGGAAGGGATTAACTTTTTTATTTACTGAAAGGGTTAACTGTGTGAGGGGAGTGTTTTACTAGGGGGCGGGGGGGGTGTACTGCACGGGGGACACGCTGATCGGGAGAGAAACTCTTCTCTCCGGCTCAGCATGTCAGGAGCTGACAGGGAACTGACAGAGAGCAGAGCTACTGCAGCCCTGCTCTCTGTCAGTGATTGCTGCTAATTGGCGGGACACAGCCAGTAACGATCGGCTGTGACCCGGCGACTGACATCTGTGGCCGTGATTGGCGGACAGGTAGGGTGGTGGCGCGCCTCACGCGCTCCCCCTACCTGATTTGCAAAAACACACGTTTTAAAACGTGGTTTTGCCCAGCCATGCCGCCCTGCCAACGTATTTCTACAGTGGCTGGGCGGCATGTGGTTAAAAAAAAAATGGTGTGGTGGTCCCCCCCAAAATCCATACCAGGCCCTTATCCGAGCATGTAGCCCGGCAGGTCAGTAAATGGGGGGGTGCTTTTGGGGGAGGGGGACTCCCCCTCCCCCAAAGTACCTTGTCCCCATGTTGATGGGGACAAGGGACTCTTCCCCACAACCGTGGCCGATGGTTGTGGGGGTCTGCGGGGGGGGGGGGGGGCTTATCGGAATCTGGAAGTCCCCTTTAACAAGGGGGCCCCCAGATCCTGGAACCCCCCCCAATTTGAATGAGTATGCAGTACATGGTACGGCTTCCCATTCACAAAAAAAAAGTGTAGTGTAAAAAAAAAAACAGGAGACAGTCTTTGATAAGTCCTTTATTAAATATTAAAGTAAAAAAAATGTCCGCTAAAGTAGGTCCAACATCAATCACGATACCCGCCACTGCCACTACCCAAAAAAAAAAAAAATCCGCTCTGCTCGCAAGACTGGCTCCTGGCCATCTGACAGCTGCGCCCTGATGACAGTTCTTAAATACTATCATGACTTCACAAGGGGGTGGGGTTCACCCCACCCCCTCGTGACATCATCCTGTGCTGTGATTGGCCAAAGCATTGCACCTGATCTCTGGTCAGGTGCATTGTTTTGACCAATCACAACGCACTGTCAGGGTGCAGTGCATTGTGGGGTGCAGCTGGCGAACAGCCCGCCGAACGCCCGTACCATTCGTGTGTTCAATGAATACACGAACGGTCTAGGTTCAAATCAAACATAGTGCCCAAGTCTAATGTTTGGGTACCTGTTATACTGGCTTCTGAATTTTAACACTGGATGTACCCTCTAGATGTAGCTGAATAGTCTTTTCCTGACAATTCAGGAAAAGACTATTCAGCTACTTCTAGAGGGTACATGCAATAAAGTCTATCTCAATCTCACTATCTCCAGATGAGATGAACAGGCAGCTGCACATATAACAGTTCTGTATACCAGTGGTGTATTTAGGGTTTGTGCTGTCGTAGGCAACACAAAAATTGGACACCACCGCTTCCCTGGCGGCGAGAGCCTGACACCGACCGACACCAGAACCGCCATTCATGGAGAGAGCCTGACAGTGACCAACAACACCCCTGCCCCATCCCCACCCCCCACCCGATAGAGCCTTCCACATGATATAGGGAATTGATAAGATCTGAGACACATGCATAGTGATAAATCCATTTGGTGGAGAGCCAAGGTCCTGAGGAAGCGGGACACCCTGCAAAACGTGTCGACCTATGCTAATGATCGCTGAGGACTCTACAATCTAAAACCCTCATATGATTTATGACAGGATTGGCATTAGATTCATCTCTGTTTTTTAAGAAATCATACATATTTTTAAATGTATAAATAAAGATGTATTATATTTAATGATTGATATTGCTTGTTTAACATTTGGAGGAACAGTATATTTAAAGTCTGTTATGAGCATTGTTGGTCTGGCATACATAGTAAGTTCCTCCTTTCTGTAGCTATCTCATAGAAGTAAGTTGCAGCAGCCATTTTGGGGAAGTATGAGTTTCATTGAGCCACATTGCTGGCCAGGTGTTTGGAACAGAGAGGCAGGAAATAGTTTGTGTCAGATAGTAAACATTTGCTGTCACATAACAGATCAAAATGGTAATTTTGCCAAATGAAACAGTTCATCTATACACCTACCTAATGGGTAACACAGCAATGTCTCTGGGGTGGCTAGTGAGTTAACCACTATGCTAACCAGGTTATAAATCCATAAAATAATTTAGTAGAATAAATAGCTCACCATTTCTATGCTGTCTCTTTCTTCATATCTCCAATTAGGGCACAACTATCTTCCCACTTTTGACTTCAGTCTTGAAGGATCCAAAATACTTTCGCAACCCACATTTGTTTGACCCAAACCGTTTTCTGGATGAAAAGAACAGATTTCAAAAGAATGAAGCTTTTTTGCCATTTTCTACAGGTATGGCTACTGTTGATGGGGAAAGTTCCACAAATGTACGTGACACTAGTAAATGTTAAACTAGAAAGTAAGAGATTAGAAAATGGACATCTTAAACACCATAAATCCAAGCAACAAGTAAAGTCAATCAGTGAGCATCTAATGCATCCCAGCGCACTGCAGCTGTACTACAATCAGAATATTCTCTCTATTTAGCATTATATGAGTGCTATGTAGTCCACTGAGGCCACGGCACACATATATCACCTCACTGGGTCATTATCAGGTCAGTAGGACGTGATGCACTCAGATATGTCTAGGTTTGAACATATCCCTAGATAACCGCTTGCTGTGCAGTGACGACTGCTGTCAGGTTGTTATTACTTTGTACAGACTTAGTGCCGTCTCTGTTCCATACACCTATCATCCAAGATACAAGAATCTACGAATTCTTGTACCTGGAATCCTGTGAATGTGTGTAATAGTCATGTGAAGTGTGAGAGAAGAGGCCTAAAAAGCTAGCCACTGTAAGCACCGCTGTCCATGTTATAGTGAATGCAGGGGTCCTGGGTTTAGTAACACTTTATCTGGTCTCCCACAGTGCACAGAACATGTAAATGCAATTATTTTAGTAAATATAAAATGCTAAATACTTTTTCTCATCAGCAGTTAGAGCAGTCTTGTGTCTAAGGACAATTAGAGACTTTTAAAGGGACTGCGATAGTGCAGCAGGCAGTCTGACACTAACTGATGTTGGGGGAAACTGACTAACTGCCACTGACATCACCAGTGAAATTAATACAGATATCAGTGATAATACTATACACTGTCACTGTACTAATGACACTGGCTGGGAAAAGTTTAATATCTAGGACAATCAAGGAGTTAAATGAGTGCCTAGCTATGTTAATGTAATGTGTGCTGTTTTTTATTAAGGAATCTCTAAGTTTCGGGATGATAAACACAGATATTGTTCCCTCTGTACAGAGCCCTGTGTTGAATGCCAACACAGAGCTCTTGGCTGTGATTGTACACAGCTGATCAGCAGGTCCTGGTCATGAATCATTGGTCGTGACTTGGCAGCTCCTGCTGTGTACAAGCAGAACAGATGCCAGCCAAGGAATTGGGTAACGGAGTACAGGTACGTTCGCAGTACATTGCAGGCAGGTGGTCACTAATTGGTTAAGCAACACGTAGATAAAAATCTATGGTAATTAGTAAAGTAAAACTATCCTGCCAAGAGACTGTACATCTCAAGGTTTCATTTAGAATTTTGGATGGAACTAAATTTTAATAGCACAGAACAAAGAGCAATATCCACTGGAAACTCATCACAAATTAAACATTATGCAGACTGTAGATGGCAGACTGCTAATTGTTCATTTGTAGTCTTTGACCTGATTCTAGGTTGCTTATGATTTGCCAATAAATTGTTTCAAACTGTGAATACTTTTGTACTTACATTGAAATGTATGGGGATAAAGACACTCTGGGGTTTATTTACTAAAACTGGAGAGTGCAAAATCTGGTGCCGCTCTGCATGGAAACTAATCAGCTTCCATGTTTTTTTGTGAAAACGTAATTGAACAAGCTAAAGTTAGAAGCTGATTGCCTATTATGCATAGTTGCACCAGATTCTGAGTGTTCCAGTTTTACTAAATCCCTTTTTTATTCACTAACAAAGGTCTTTACTCCACTTGCTGGTTGCATGTCATGAAAGCTATTAGACAAAAAATAAAGTATGATTTGTTGCTTCTCTGATTCTACAGGAAAGAGAATCTGCTTAGGAGAAGGGATGGCAAGAATGGAAATTTTCCTTTTCCTCACTTTTATTCTGCAAAATTTTTACCTGAAATCAGATGAAGATCCTTCTGCAATTGATCTCTCTCCTCTGCCCAACAGTAACGGAATTATCCATCGGTCCTTTGAAATATGCTTAGTCCCCCATTAGTTCCACAGGTTTTTTGTCCACATGTCACTGTTCCCCTGTTAGCCTTGAAGAGAGAGCCCTTATTTTCATGAGCTTGCAGTTTCTTCCAATTGAAACCTCAGTGC